GTTCATTTATGCTGTCCCATGAATCAACGTTTCATTCCTCTTTATTCCACATGATATTTCGTTGTGTGATGCATCAGGTTTTGTGCATCACTTGAGGGACATTTGGGTTGTTTGCACTTTTTAGCTATTGTGAGTAATGCTGCCATGAACATCCGTGTGTGAGTTGTTGTGAGGACGTATGTTTTTAATTCTGAGTAAATACCCAGGAGTGGAACTGCCGGCTACCTCTGTGTTTAAGCTTTTAAGGAACCGCCAGACTCTTCCCAGATTCCTCACCGGCAGCTCGGCCTTAACAGAATTTCAGCAGCACTGAGAAGCACCTCTTCCCCCAAAATATTCCCAGGGTTTTTGCCACGGAAGAGGTTACTTTAACCGGGCTGAGAATTATTCCCTTCATAACAAGCACGAACGTTCAAAATACAATTGTGCTGAGCCAGGTAACACAGTGACTTCAATTTCCACCAAGATATAAGTTCTATATTTTCTCTGAGCAATTTTAACGAGAGGGAAAAAGAAAATGCGTCAGAACACTGGGGATCTGCAAGGGGGAAGAAGGAGGCCACAGAGCCTGAATCCAGGGTAGGGTGCGTATGTTTAAAGGGACAGGCCAGCTTTTCCTATCAGTACCACAGTGAACACCAGGCTCCTGTTTTGCTAACTCATTTATTTCAAATAGCCCCTACTGAGCAGCGACTTCATGAAACAATATTCACCTAAGGGCTGGGCATTTAAGGATGAATAAGACACATTCCTTGAGGAATTAAAAGTCGGGTGGGTTGGACAAGATGACCTGAGGATCATCGTCCCAGGGGTTTCCTCTGAGATCATGTCCCTTCATTGTTTTGATGCTGAAATGTCTTTTTTTTTTTTTTATTGGAGGGATGGGCATGGCTGATAAAGGCAGCTTCTGTTCCTTTTTTTTAAAAAAAATTTTTTTTCTTAATGTTTTTATTTATTTTTGAGACAGAGAGAGACAGAGCATGAGCAGGGAAGGGGCAGAGAGAGAGAGAGACACAGAATCAGAAGCAGGCTCCAGGTTCTGAGCCATCAGCACAGAGCCCGATGCGGGGCTCGAACTCACAGACTGTGAGATCATGACTGTGAGATCATGACCTGGGCCAAAGTTGGACGCTCAACCGACTGAGCCACCCAGGCGCCCCAGCTTCTGTTCCTTAAAATCCAATCTGGTAGCATGAAATTTGGTAGCCGTATGTTGGGTCTAACCAATGTTATTGAACTATTCCTTGTATTTTAAATCCCTCACCCCCACCTCAAAACCTGAGTTTAGACGAAAAGCAACAGCTATTAAGAGACAAACGGTATTGATCCGTCTGGATTCCCACATGCATTAAAATAGATAAAGGAAGCAATGTTGGAGAAGTTAGGATTAGTGAGGTCTAGAGGGGGAATCGCTTCCTGTGATTCTGCCAGGCCCCGAGTCAAGAAAGCATAATGAAGCACTGGTGCCTCATTCCTGATGAGCCTGGAGTCTTGACCTCACGCACAAGCACTTTGTGCCATGGCTCTCGGTAATCTGAAAGGACGGGACTGAAGGTCGTGGCTGTGTGCCACCTGTTTCTGGGAAACTGATCTTAAGTGCCTTAGTTTACCTCTCTGGACTTCAGCTTCCATGCTGGTGACATAACATCAGGAGCTTATGTGGGGCTCACCCATGTGCCAAGCACCATTTAGAGGACTTTGGTATATACCTATTTAATCCTATGGGAACTGAATGAGAATGGGACCCATGTCTGTTCCCATGAGTTTGCCCAGAGTCTCACACAATGGTCGTGGCAGAGCTGAGATCTGAATCCTGCCTCTTGTCAAGGCTCTACTTCTTCCTTGTAAAAAATTTATATTTGCATATTCTACCTTAAATTAAGTCATGATTTTTATTCCTGGAGTGGTAGGAGACTAAGTTGTCTCTCTTAAAAAAAAAATTTTTTTTTAATGTTTATTTTTGAGAAAGAGAGAGACAGAGCGTGAGAGGGGGGATGGGCAGAGAGAGAGAGAGAGAGAGAGAGGGAGACACAGAATCTGAAACAGGCTCCAGGCTCTGAGCTGTCAGCACAGAGCCCCATGCAGGGCTCGAGCTCACGGACCGCAAGATCATGACCTGAGCTGAAGTTGGACGCTTCACCAACTGAGCCACCCGGGCGCCCCAGTTTCTCTTTTTTTTAAGAAAGAGAAATTCCTAACTTGACACTGAGTAGCACTGTGGTGTTTGCTCATGATGTCCCTGCCCAAGAAATACGGGAAAACGATGATAAAGCACATATTCACATCAACTTCAAATGCCAACGTATGTGAATTTTAAAATTATTTTGAACTGTGCTTGAAATTCCCATTGCTAGCATTGACTTCAGATAGTCTTTCCATCTGTCTAACACTGCCATGGCCTTTACATGACTCTGAGATGATATGTTCGAGAAAGAGCGAGTAAGAGCTGGAAGGAAAGATGAGAGGCCCTTTGGGAAGTGGAGTGCCTCCTGAGACCCTCCCAGGGTGAGTCCGAGCTCCGCTGGGAAGCTTGTCCCACTCCACACCCAAATCTAAACCAGTCTAAACGTACCACACGACGTGAGAAAAACCACAGTGATGTATTCACCAATGTAAACTAAGGGGCACGCCAATTTGAAAAGGGAATGTTGATTTAAGGCAGGACTTGAAGAAGAGGAATTTTAAATACTTTTCTAGTTCATGAAAAATTTCAATCAGTGAAGGGTTTCTTTAGTATATACAGTGGAGGGTCATTAATGCTCACCTCAGGGTGTATGCAACAGGTGTGTGCCATGCCGAGACCGCTCCCTAGATGTACCTGATGTACCTAACGCTTGAGGACCACCTGCTTGTGGACTGTGGTGGGGGGTGAGCCAGTTCTTGGTCATCGTAAGAAGGAAGTTAAGTAAATTGTAACGCCATCAATCCTCCCCCATCTCAACCCCAAGATCCTCTTCCGTCCTCTAAAGGACTCCCTCTCCATCTACTTCTCAGATGTGGTTTTAGGCTCCTCCTCTTCCTGAAACCAACCTCTGAGGATCGAATTTCCAAGTCCAGGACCCTCTCCTCTATATACCCTGCCAGTCTCAATTGTGAGCTCCAGGCTCCTGCTTCATCTTTCCCCTCGGGTATTGCCTTTGGGATCGCTAACTTAATTTCTTCAAACCGGCGCTCGATACTGTCCCCTGTCCTCCCATAATACGTCCCAGGTTCCTCCATCTCAATAAATGGCACCATGACCTATCCTGTTGTCATCCTTGATCCCCACTTTCCTCCGCCTCCTGCATTTTGACCCACCATCTAGATCTGCCCGTTTGTGCCCCAGGGCTCGCCTCCACGACCCAAGGCATCCCACTCGGGTCCTTGTTTCCTTCTTTTAATTCTCCACACAGCAGTCAGAGTGACCCTGACAACGTCACTTATTGAGTCGACTTTCACTCACTGCATTTGGAGGCAAATCCAAGTTCCTTGGCATGACCTTGGCATTTGGCTCCACTGACCTCTCTCATCTGTTTACGGCTACTCTTCCATTACCCATCTGCCTTCAGACTGGCTTCCCGTCCCTGCCTGGGACACACCCAGCACCTCTCCTTGGGCCCTTTTTATTGGCTTCTCTCAGTGTCCGTCACAAGATGATGCTGCCTGAACTCCTATGGGCGGCCACACAACTACCCTCTCCTTGAAATCAGTATTCAGGGCGTAGCTCCATCGGTGGGTAACAAATATTGTGAATTCCCAGATTGTATGCTCATGAAATCTCTTCCACACGTATGAAGTTTTAGAGTTTACAGACTTAAAATGTAAAAGCACTCATTTCTTGCCGCCCCAAGAGTTATATAAAACAACTTTAAATACAGTTTTTATCAAAAGAGCAAACATATCTAGAGCTTCTTGATTAACATTCTTCTCAGGCCCGTTATTGACTAACATTATAGAATGAGGCTAAAATAGCAAAATGAAATAGGAAAATGAGCATTTCAGGGAAAAACAGTGAGCCAGCCTAGGCACCAGTATTTTCCTTCCTTCCTTCTTTCTTTTTTTTTTTTAAGTTTCTTTATTTCTGAGAGAGGGAGAGAGAAGAGAGAGAGAGCGCGCACGCAAGCATGAGTGGGGGAGGAGCAGAGAGAGGGAGACACAGAATCCAAAGCAGGCTCCAGGCTCCAAGCTATCAGCACAGAGTCCGATGCGGGGCTTGAACTCGCAAACTGTGAGATCACGACCTGAGCCGAAGTCGGATGCTTACCCAACTGAGCCACCCAGGCGCCCCCCCCTTTCCTTATTTCTTGTTTCTCTTCTTACATTTTTTCCATCAAGTCTTTACTTACTATATTAATTACCACCTACTTTCAAGGTTCTAGTCTACTTCTGACTGTATAAGATGATCACTTAGTACTTTAAGTGAGAGCTTGGGCACAACTGCAGATGTCGATATTATTTTATTTATTAGTATTTTTAAAAAATGTTTTATTTATTTTTGAGAGAGAGAATGTGAGCAGGGGAGGGGCAGAGAGAGAGGGGGGCAGAGGATCCGAAGCGGGCTCTGCACTGACAGCAGAGAGCCTGATGTGGGGCTCGAACTCACGAACCATGACATCATGACCTGAGCCAAAGTCACATGCTCAATGGACTGTGCCACCTAGGTGCCCTGATATTATTTTAAAATTTAATTTGGGGGCCCTGCTCCAAAATGAATATATAACAGTGAATATCTAAGTGCAGTCTAATTTATGGAAATACCTGTAATTTTATAGAAAGCAAAAAAAATGAACAGAACTAAAAACACTGATCAGGGTAAAACGAATACACCTGCTTCTGATTCCTATTGGATTTTTAGTTTTCCATCCACCAAATGTGTGCCACTTTAAAAGCTGATTTCTGTAGTAAGATGTTAATGCTTTGTTCCTTGCACTGAAGAGACATCATTGACCCTGGGAGGGCAGCGAACTGTGGGTGCACGGGGAGCTTCAGACAGGCCAGGCCTTGACCAGAAGCTGACTTACTATTGTGCGCAGTCTATCAGCTGGTATTCGTTGGACCTCTCAAAGCACGCCTTCACGCCTTCATCGTCCCAAAGCTTCTTCACGTGATCAAAGAATTCCTAAAATCGGAAAAAGTTACAAAGAAGAAAGCACATGTGTTATCATCTTTTCAAAAGGTAAAAGTAAAAAGAAACTGCCAAAAAAATTTTTGCAGGTAGCGCATGAACCGTTTTCTTTGAGTCGATGTTACACGCCATATACACCACACAGGGCTTGCGATCAGCGTGACGAAAACATGCACCTCTGTGATCATCGCTCACATCAACAGGTCACACATTCTTGTTGTTCCAGGAAGTTCCCCCAAATGAAAATTACAAGTCAAAAGTAATTTTCTGGCATTCACCAACTATACATACGACAGCCATTTTAAGAATAATTTTAAGGTTTTTAGTACTCGGTCACCTGTCTAGTGGTAATGTCACTTCAGCAATGAAAAATCATGCCTATTACAATGATAAGTTTGTGTTAGCTGCTGAGCCATGATTAGGAATGGGCATGACTGAACAGATGGGTCAAATTCGGCCCAGAAGCATTAGGTACACCAGAAGGAAACCTTTAAAATTTCACTCTTCGGGGATGCTAATTCACCGCTTTTTGGCATTTTTTAAAACTGTGAGTTAAATGTCGAACTGTGATTTTGGTTCCCTCAAGCCCATGTGAGCGCAAAGCTCAACTTCATCCATTACGGCAAGGAGCACCCTCCCTGAAAAGGAGGCCGAGAACTTTCCTTCTCTCGAAGTAAGAGGTGGCTTTATGAATTCTTATTTCCAAAATTACCCAAATTAAATTAGCAGTGCTATGGAACCAAATGACAACACATCAGCTGCTAAATATAAAAGAAGTTATGTAAAATTTCACAAACCCGTTCATTAGCATTTTTATATCCCTTCCCACATCAGTCATCAGCCCTTCCCGGCAGCCCTAGGCAGCACCCAATTCCATCTCTGATCTGCACGAAAGGGTCTGGGGCTTCTGATGCCTTATGTTCACTGTGGCTGCCATGTTCTCTAAGAATCAGCATTGATTTTTTGGAGAAAAAAAAATAAAGGGCTGGTTCTTTTGTTGGAGATTCACAATTCCATACAAGGGCGGATCCAAGTACTGTGGGGGCCTCTTTGAAAAAAGAAGAATAAAATCATGAGTACGCAATTCAGTACAAAACCCTAGAAGGGGCAGTAGGACTGAGGGGCCCTGAGCTTAAGCTTCATGAGGTTCTGACTGCCTAGAATCAGGAACAATCTTTAAAGGTTTGCCACATCTTTACACGTGTCATCTGTCTGGCTGCCTGTTGTCATTAACAAATCCAAACTATCCACAGCTGACAACGAAGGGGAACTCCATATGAAGGAGAGATGCTGAACCTCTCAATTTTTATCTTCCTCGATTTGTGGTTCCTTCTGGTGTCTCCCACCACTGCTCTTGTCACTCCATTGACGGCGTTTTTATCAGCATCCTTAAAATTTTTTTTTCCTTCTAAGAGCCATATGAAGACACACACACACACACACACACACACACACACACACCCCAAATGAAAACTAGTCTACTTGATATTGTCAAGATGGTCTGGTCTCGGAAGACAGTGACAACTCCCGTGTCATGGTGATATTCAGAGTTAAGCCCCATCTCTCTCCCCCTCCTGCAAACCCCAAGTGCAACAGTCTCTTGAATAAAGTTCCTGACTGTCTTTATCAAGTGTCAGAATCATTTTTTCTGTCAGCAGTCTGAGCTGAAGCCTCTGAGACAGAATTACAAAGCAGTGCTTGAATCAAGATCCAAGATACAGGATTTCTGAGGTCCGTGTTCATAGCAGTAGCAGAACAGGAATCGCAGGCACTGTGGTTTTAAAGCAGATGATCTGGACAACACCAGATGAACACAAAAACAAGTCTCTCTGTTTCAGCTTCCTAATTGGTGACCAAAGATGTCGGACTAGAACAGAGCTGGAGATCGACAGAGAGCCTGGATTCTCCATGTTTACTTTTATTTTTTTTAACGTTTGTCCATTTTTGAGAGACAGAGTGAGAGCAGGGGGAGGGGCAGACAGAGAGGGAGACACAGCAGGCTCCAGGCTCCGAGCTGTCAGCACAGAGCCCGACACGGGGCTTGAACTCACCAACCACAAGACCGTGACCGGAGCTGAAGTCAGACACTTAACTAACTGAGCCACCCAGGCACCCCACTCCATGTTTACTTTTAAGGGGTTCTAAAAACCTCATGGAAAATTCCAGAGCCGCTACTGCTGTTGCTTCTGCCTTTTATTAGGGAAAATTTCAAACTTACAAAAGGAGAGAGAAGAATTCCCCAGGCCTCTCATTCCTCAGCCTCCACATTTATCAACACATGGCCAATTCTCTCTCTCTCTCTTTTAATAACTCATGGCTTTTCCCCCACATTTCCTATTTTGCAGCACATCTCTTACATCGTATCATTTTATTTCAACGTTGTTTCTAACAGACAAAGGCTCTTAAAAGACATAGCCACAGTACCACTACCTCCATGAAAAATATCACAACAAATAAAGAAATGATTCTGTAACATCATTATTCAGTCAGCCAATTCAGCTTCTTCAGCTATATTTAAACAGTTGTCCAGAGCCAGGCTAGAATTTTCACGTGTTTGCTAAACCAACTGGGAAATAAATATGAGGAATAATTTTGGTATGCCTCCATTAGCAACTAAGATGAATAGTATTAAATAAAAATAATTTCAGTGTTGTGCGTGTGTGTGTATGTGTCTGAAAAAAGAAGGATGATTCACAGAGAAATGTAATTTGCTTTTGACAACTGAGAATATGTAGAAGTTGAGAGTATAAAAAGAAAATTCTTGGGGCACCTGGGTGGCTCAGTTGGCTGAGTGTTCGACTCTTGGTTTTGGCTCAGGTCATGATCTCACCGTCATGAGATCAAGCCACCACGGGGGTGGGGGTGGGGGGTCTATGCTGACAGCATGGAGCCTGCTTGGGATTTTCTTTCTCTCTTCAAAAATAAATAAATAAACTTAAAAAAAGAAAATTACGGACATTTCTTAATTTTCTTCTGTATTACTGAACAAAAATTGCCTTGTGATCTTCATATATTTAGCAACTGAAATACACATTTATGTTATTCTTACTTAAAAGGATTTGACATAGCATAACCTATAAACTTATCAAGTCACTGAGTTGTACAGCTGAAACTAATGTCACATTGTGTGTCAAGGCTCTTCACATTTAAAAATAAAAAATAAAAAAATCCAAAGGGGTTTGAGTTGTGTTATAGAAACTAAAAACCAGGGGCGCCTGGGTGGCTTAGTCGGTTGAGCATCCGACTTCGGCGGCTCAGGTCATGATCTCCCGGTTTGTGAGTTCAAGCCCCGTGTCGGGCTCTGTGCTGACAGCTCAGAGCCTGGAGCCTGCTTCAGATTCTGTGTCCCGCTCTCTCTCCGCCCCACCCCTGCTTGTGCTCTGTCTCTCTCTTTCAAAAATGAATACACATTAAAAAAAAATGAAAAAAAAGAAAGTAAAAATCATACACACACAGGTCTTGAAGGAGAGCTTTCACATGTGGTGTGGATGGAACCCCTCCCTGGGTTGAGTGCAAAGATGTTCTTCATACTCATTACCTAATATCCCTTCTAAGACGACTACGGAAAATCTCTCTCCAATATTAGTATCGGGAATACTTTTTCTGCATCTCTCAAAGCCGCTTTTTATATTTTATTATTAATTTTTAATCACAGGGACCCTCTGGCTCTTGGGCTGTTTTCATTTATGTCACTGAGTTGATCGCACGAAAGCGCTGAGGTCCTGTTTTGGGGTCAGTCTTCATGCGTGTCAAGTCATGATCTCATGGTTCTTGAGTTCGAGCCCTGAGTTGGGTTCTCTGCTGTCAGCACGGAGCCTCCGTGGGATGCTCTCTCCCCCTCTCTCTGCCCCCTCCTCTCTCTCAAGAATAAATAAAGATTAAAAAAAAGTGGTCATACCTAGTATTTACTGAGTGCCTTGTATGTTCTAGGCAGTATTCTAAGGGCCTTATATACAAGGTCTCCAAGCCTTACGCTTTGGATTCTAACTCCACTTTCGGTTCCACGTAACTTACTCTCCTGATCCTAACTTCCTTCTCCTGCGTTTTCACATATTTCATTACCTTGTATTACAACTTTGTAAGCAGCACTAAATCCTTTCTGGAACAAGCTGAAGCACAAACAAATGTTTGCTGGATCTTTCTATGGGAACATAGTGGATAACGTCCACCACCACAATCGAACGGACCTTAGGAATAGGCAGTGGGAAGGTCAGAAGCCCTTTATTTACATGGGATTTTCTAAAGCTCAAGTTGAGGTCTGATTCATTTAAAATACACACACTCAGTTTTATCCCTTGGCTAACAGAAAGACTGAATAGGTTTTTGTCATTTGTTTTTTTCAGATATATGTGGTGGATATCATGCCTGCCGACACTATCGTTCTGTTATTTGTAATCTCTGTCCGTCCTCAAATCTAATTCAATACAGTATGTCTAATATTCTATTGAGAAACAGCTTTTAGAAACTATGTTAAAAGAAAAGCCAAACATTAAATCACTAGCAGTCCCCTCATCCATGTCCTATGACCCACCCTGGGCAGCAATCTCAGCAGGTTACCACGTATGAAAAGAGGTCCTGCTGGGGCACCTGGGTGGCTCCGTCGGTTAAGCCTCTGACTTCTGCTCAAGTCATGATCTCATGGTTCATGAGTTCGAGCCCTGAGGTGGGCTCTCCGCTGTCAGCACGGAGCCTCCTTGGGATGCTCTCTCCCTCTCTCTCTGCCCCCTCCTCTCTCTCAAGAATAAATAAAGATTAAAAAAAAAGAGGTCATACCTAGTATTTACTGAGTGCCTTGTGTGTTCTAGGCAGTATTCTAAGGGCCTTATATACAAGCTCTCATCAGAGACACCCCTGCCATGTAGGTGATTCCATTCCCATTTACTGAGGACAGAATGAGTTGATTACGGATACTTGATACTTGCTCAAGCTCTCTTGGCTAGGAAGTGGTCGACCCTGGATTCCAAAGCCTGCTCTGAAGCCAGCTGGCTTCCTTC